AAACCATTCTATGATTCTATGATTAATGCAGGCTTTTCTTCCATTTGTAGTACTGTTTTGAGGACGACTAGATTTCTGTTCTAGATGAAGCGTACAAGGAAATACCTATGTTTCTCTTTCAGCAATCTCAGTCCAGAGAAAAATGCAAACGAAAATGGAATGTCTATGCAGAATGATAACTTCGAAGAGATCATAAACCTGCCTATTGGTTCTAAACCTTCCCGGCTAGATGCCATGAACAATGATGGAAGCAATAGTCCTGAAATTCCTTTGAATCCAATTCTAGCCTTTGAAGATAAGGGGACTCTTTTGCCTCAGGTAGACAATGTTCAAAACACACCAAACAGCAGGTGGGTTTGCATTGGTTCATTAACAATTGTGTTGTAATTGGCAGAGGACCTAGAGCTCTTAATTGATACAAGTTGATTAATTTAAGCATTTTTAAACCCCATATTTTTTGGGGAAAGGAGTGTATCTCCTCTTTGTGAAGCTATGCATCTCAAGTATCTACAGATGCTGTGCAAATTGTAGTGAGGCCTTACCTTTTGTGTGAGGAGGGGTTCTCAGTTACATTGCACTTTCTCTCATTAGAAGTTGCTTGAAAGCACAGGACAAACTTTTTCAAGCAGAAACAGTAACAGTGATAACTGCTGTTCCTAGCTTATGATCAGCAATCGTATTCCAGTTTTGCAAGTGTAATATCGGATATGCACATGCAGAAGGGGAGCTGGTACCTACATTTGATGTAAAATTCTGGATGTACTTCCCTCATCAAGTTCTTGCTGACGTGAATACTGAAGGATGGTTTGCAGCACACTAGATTTTTCTGAATTACATCACAACTTTTAAATGATGTGAGGTAAACAAATACTAATTTAGCAACCTAAATTGTACTGCTTTCTTTTTCTGTTCCTAGAAAATGTAAGGAAAATGATCTTACAATGAAATAATTGCATGAATACATACCATTTTGAAGTAAGCATTGTCACTCTTTGCTGACCTGTCATTTTTGATACCTTCTGTTGTAGAAGTGATCTGATCGTTTCTTATGAAGAACCAAAGGTGATTATGAGCATCTCTGCAGTCAGTGGAGTTTCTTCCATGCTATGAAGGAGTGTTTTATTTTCTCTCTCCGTTTTTTTTAAAGATTTATTGAATATCTTTTTTGGAAGGACTTTAGTAAAACCAGCAGAAGAAGTGATGGGAATAGACTTGGATCACCTTTCTAATAGCTTTCATCACTAGAAAACTTGTGCTTCACATGCATTACTTAATATGGCTTTTTCCAAGCTTTTTCTGTTAGCAAATGTATATTTCTGCATTCCTTAAGACACAAGACACTGGAATCTGAATGCAATGGGCTGATTTGGGTGGTGGGACCGATTCTTTTTTTTTAAAAAAGGTGTATGTTGGTTTAAAGGGCATAATTGTAAAATTGGCAAAGAATCTTTTACACTTTGTGGTTCTAATACTTGAAAAATAAATACCTCATTGCTCTACAAGTAGAGTTAATGGGGTGTTTTATTTAAACCTGTTGGTTTAAATATTATTGCAGAGAACTCTAATTATGGGGGCAAAGTATAGGCTTCTGTATCAGGTTCTTGTAAATGTAATTCCTACAGGGACATTCTGTAAATTGAGACGTCACTATGGTCTTCTCACATTTTCTCTAAAAACACAAAAGAAGGCAGGTTTTAAAATGTGAAATTTTGAAAACGTTATTTTTTCATGGACAAGAGGAAAACCTATTGTTCTCCCACGTGATGTATTTATGAATTTTGTTCAGTACAGAAATAAATTGTTTAATTGAATAAATTAGAAAAATGTGTTAAAATTATACTGCAGACTTGATTTTTTTTTTGTTACATCCATGTTCACAGTACTATAAAATGCAAGTATGCATACGTGCACACACAAGGAAATACCTTGTTCTGAGTCCTGTAAATTGCTGCTTTTCCCAATGATGGAAAACTCCTTTGCCTTATCAGACTATGGAAGACTGTGTGAAACCTGAAATATTTGATTTTTGGATGATGAAGCAGGTTTGGGGATTTTTTGGTTTTGCTCATTTCAGAGCAAATGGGAAATGGTCACTGTTTGTGCTTTTTATGTAGTGTGTGATTTTTATAAAGCAGTGCATTTTGAACGAGGAGCAATGCAGGTTGCTTTCTCTTTATTTTGATGCTGATTTCTGCTGTCATTGTTCCATCCCTCACTTTTTGGTTGCTGTTGGGCAGATGTGTAAAATCTTGCACCTTTTTGTGCTTTAATAAACAGCACTTACAGGTAGAGCTCATTCTAGGTATTTGAGTTTGAAGCACCAACCAGGGCTTGATGCATTGCTCACTGAAGTCAGTGAGTGGATCCTTGGCTAGTGGAAACAGTATTTGATGGGCTTTCAGCTCATGCTACCAGATCCAATGAGATCTGAGAATGTACCATTAAGTCTCCTGTACTTGCCTTCAGTGAGTACTGAGCTAGGCCTGTAGGAAGCTGTGCAGAAACTCTGTGCTAGTAGAAGAAAGCCTCTGAGACAAATGCTGAAGCATTTTTTTAAGAAGTTACTTTGTGCTGTTTCCAAATGTTCATCTTACACAGGAGATGGGATAAAAGCAATGTAAATGCAATGAAAAGAGACTTCATCTGCCAGAATATATATGGAAAGGAAAAAACAGCCATGCAGTCAGAATGCTTTCAATAGTAGCTTGTGATACAGTGAAATGAATTGGGTTCCTTTCTTACTTTCTTTAGTTCTCCATGTATGTAGCCACAATATCCTGAAGTGTCCAAAGCATGTACATTTTCTTTAAACCTATATATAGCATGTAAGCACCAAATAAAACTTGTTTGAAATATTTACTTCTATTTTCATTTTCTTGCATAGCAGGAGTCAATCTGTGGAAAACTCTTTTTGCTACTCCTGGTCTGCTTAAAACTTTTCTTCAGGTTTCCTCTAATCTTTTTACTAGAAAGTCAGTACAGGGTCACTTACAGCTAGACATTGAGCAAAGAAATAGCCAGTAAGATTTTGCTTCAATTTTAATTTTGAGGATTAACATAGGCTCAGGTTTAAATTATGTTGATGGGGTTTTGTGAGACTTCAGAATGTTTGTTTCACTGTTTGCAGCACAGTGATGAAGAACCTGCTTCATTTCTCATGAGCGAGTATTTTTTTTTTAACAGGACTGTAGTAAAAACAGTTTATAATTGTGTTCACTGCAGGTTTGCATCAAATAAGAGAAAATTTCCTCCTTTTCAAGGGCCTGACATACATGCTAAAAGCTAGGGAACAGGGAGTAGAATTAGGTGTACAAATAAAAAACCTAAAAAAAATGAAAAGTGGTTGAAATTTTAAGCCTTGGTTTAAGCCCCTTTCTTTAAATCCAGGGGGAAATAGTTTATCTTCTGTTGAATGTTGTTCTTGATAATAAAATATAGTGTCAAATGAAGGCCAGCTCCTTTGCCTGCTGTTGCGACTGGTTTTGTTTGCGCTATCAGAGGCAACACTTAACTACTCAGTGAGGTAGAACTAGCAATTGTCAAAGGCACAGACAGCTATTCTGAAGGTTCACAGTGCTAACCTTCCACAGCAGCTAGATTGTGTGCTTTGGGAAGACTCAGCTCCTTGCTTGCATCTTAACGATGCAACATAAATGGTAAGGGGGGTGACGTGCAGTGGGTTTAGTTCAGCACATCACAACTACTGGGTTACTTGCCATCAGCTTTGCTTCTTTCGCATGTCTCTCTTTCTCCTCATTCCTGATGAAGAGTGCTTTGTTGTTTTCCTTCTTGCTTAGGAGCTTGAAGTATTGTTTGCAATTAAATACCTGTCCTGGTTTTGTCTGGGATAGCGTTGGCTTTCTTCATGGTGGATAATGTGAGGCTGTGTTTTGGATTTGTGCTGAGAAGGTGACTGATAACATACTGATGGTTATAGTTGCTGCCAGGACAGTCAGGGACTTTTCAACTTCTCATGCTTTGCCGGTGTGTGTGGGTGCACAAGAAGCTGTGACAGAGCATAGCTGGAGCATAACCCACAATTACTGGTTTAAGATTTGACCTTAGGTTTAGGATTGAGACCCAAATTGGTCAATGGTCTATTCTATCTCATGCACGTCATGCCCAGTATATAGACCAAGGGCTCTCTGGAACAGCTCTCTCTCTTGCTCCCACTCTCTCTCCCAGTTGGCTCTCTGGCTCTTCTCTTTTCCAGGATTGCGGTTTTGGGACTCTCCATGCTCTGGGATTGTTAGCCGGGAACAGGCTGGGCCTTAGTCATCGGGTAGTGAGCAGTCTACTGTGTATCACTCATTTGTAATTTGTATATTACTATTATTATTATTATAATTAT